CATCACAGAGGGACAGAGTGAAGATGTTAACACCCAGCATGAGGTGAAGCAGCTGGAGAGAGTTTCCAAGATCCAGAACCTCCAAGACTCTCCAATCAGGTGCCATGACATCTTTAAATCCTTCCCTGACCAACATGGAGCCATCAGAGTGGTTCTGACCAATGGCGTTGCTGGAGTTGGAAAAAACTTCTCAGTGCAGAAGTTCACTCTGGACTGGGCCGAGGGCTTGGAGAACCAAGATGTCAGTGTGGTGGTTCTACTTTCGTTCAGGGAGCTGAACTTGATCAGAGATGAGCAGCACAGTCTTCTCTCACTGCTCCATGTTTTCCATCCAACACTCCAGAAGATCCCAGCAGAGCAGCTGGCTAAATGCAAACTGCTCTTCATCTTTGATGGCCTGGATGAAAACAGACTTTCACTGGACTTCAACAACAGTCAGCTGGTTTCTGACGTCACACAGAAGTCATCAGTCAACGTTCTGTTGACAAACCTCATCAAGGGGAACCTGCTTCCCTCTGCTCTCATCTGGATAACTACCAGACCTGCAGCGACCAATCAGATCCCTCCTTCATGTGTTTCCAGGGTAACAGAAGTACGAGGCTTCACAGACACCCAGAAGGAGGAGTACTTCAGGAGGAGGTTCAGTGATGAAGAGCTGTCCAGCAGAATCATCTCCCACATCAAGAAATCAAAAAGTCTCCACATCATGTGTGGAATCCCAGTCTTCTGCTGGATCACTGCTACGGTTCTGGAGAACATGTTGACCTCAGAGCAGAGAGGAGAGCTGCCCAAGACCATGACTGACATGTACTCACACTTCCTGCTGGTCCAGACAAAGAGAAAGAAGAACAAGTACCATGGAGGACATGAGACAAGTCCACAGGATCTGATGGAGGCTGACAGGGAAGTTCTTCTGAAGCTGGGGAAACTGGCATTTGAACATCTGGAGAAAGGAAACATCATGTTCTACCAAGAAGACCTGGAGCAGTGTGGTCTTGACGTCACAGAGGCCTTGGTGTACTCAGGAGTTTGTACAGAGATCTTCAAAAGAGAGAGTGTGATCTTCCAGAAACCAGTTTACTGCTTTGTTCACCTGAGCATCCAGGAGTTTCTGGCCGCAGTTTATATGTTCCACTGTTTCACCATCAGGAATACAGAGGTGGTGAAGAAGTTCCTGGGAGAACATTATTCTAATTATAATTCATATTTGGATGAGCGTAGTGAAACATCTCTGGAGGGATTCATGAACAGAGTCATGTCTAAATCCTTCAGCAGTAAAAATGGCCACCTGGATCTGTTTGTTCGTTTCCTTCATGGTCTCACTCTGGAGTCCAACCAGAGTCTGTTAGGAGGCCTGCTGGGTCGGACAGAGATCAGTCCAGAAACCATCCAGAGAATCATCACCAACCTGAAGGAGATGAACACTGATAGAATCTCTCCTGACAGAAGCATCAACATCTTCTACTGTCTGGTGGAGATGAACGACGTCTCATTTTATCAGGAGATCCAACGGCTGCTGGATTCAGGGAAGGAGCTCTCAGTGTCTGACTGTTCAGCTCTGGCCTTCATGCTGCAGATGTCAGAGGTTCTGGATGAGTTGGACCTGGAGAAGTACAACACATCAGATAAAGGACGACGGAGACTGGTTCCAGCTGTGAGGAACTGCAGAAAGGCTCGGTGAGTCCAGATGTTTTCATTGTGTGAATGCTGATTCAGCACTATTGTCCTCCTGTTTCTTCTTTTTTCTGGATGTTTTTGGCCTTTAACTACTTCCTTCATCCTCTGGATGATTTCAGCCATTCAAACATCTAAACATTCAGTTCATCCAGGACAGCTGCAGCTTCTGGTTTTTACACATTTTGATCTTTTAAAAATATTTAACTTTTTATCAGTTTTCAGGTTGAAATGAATAGAAAACCTTGAACTCTAGAAAATCAGTTTTCTCTGAAGGATCCAATCATCCAGAGAGACTTTTTAAACTTTAAACTCTCTTCACTCATTGAGCTGCTGCTCCATAATTCACCTTTGAGGATTTTTGACTGTTTTTATAAAATAATTGTTTAGGTTTGATGGAAAGTTGAACCATTAAAATAAACCGTTGCATTAATTATAAACTTTGTGAACAGTGTTGATCTTCTTCATTCCGTCATCTTCCTCATCTCTTCCTCCTCCACTAGTTTCCTCTGAGTTTGTAACTGAGACCAAAATGTGGTGATTGTTGTCTGGTTCCAGAAAAAGTCCTAGTTTCTGTCAGATCCTCCCAAAGTTTTGAGAACTCTGCTTCCAGAGCTGGAACCATTTTCCTCATCAACTCTTCATCTGCAGCCTTTGTTGAAGCTGTTAGCTGTCCTCCATGAAGACCTGCAGAGACATGAGCTTCAGCTCTTTAGACATCCCAGCCTCTTTAGTTCTGGAGAACTTTCACTGCTTCACCATGAAGATGCTGCTGGACCCAAATAAAATAAAGGT